TATCAACTTCAACCCCGGCTTCCTGGGGGGCAGAGTTGGATTTTTGGTTTGTCTGGACAGTGTCCATCACCACGGGCTCCCATCTCCTGGCTGAGGCCTCTCCTTACACAGGTGACAATAAAACGGGAGATGAGGCTGGGAGAGCTGAAGGGGACGGTGTTTTCCCAGTCTGGGGAGAGCTCAGAGCCCCTTGCAGGGCCCAAAGGGGCTCCAGGAGAGCTGGAGAGGGACTGGGGACAAGGGCTGGAGGGCCAGGAGCCAGGGAATGGCTGCCAGTGGCAGAGGGCAGGGCTGGATGGGATTTGGGGCAGGAATTGTTCCCTGGCAGGGTGGGCAGGCCCTGGCACAGGGTGCCCAGAGCAGCTGGGGCTGCCCCTGGATCCCTGGCAGTGCCCAAGGCCAGGCTGGACACTGGGACAGTGGGAGGTGTCCCTGCCATGGCAGGGGTGACACTGGAGGGGCTCCCAAACCATCCTGGGATTCCATGGAATGCAGCTGCCCATCCTGGCCAGGTGCTGCAGCCCCCTGTCCCCAGAGGTGCAGGTTTGGGTGACACCAGGCTGGGAGTGGTGGCTGTGCCCCTGGAACCCCCCCAGGCTGCAGAAATGCCCTGGGAGAAACTCCTGCAGCTCAGACAGGAAAGGACCAAGTCCTGGGAACACGTCCAGGACAGGCTGGGGGCCACCCCAGGCCTGGCAGGGCCAGTCTGGGACTGGGGACACCTCGGTGACCCGGTGGCAGCCACGTGTCCCTGCGGGCTCAGCCATTCCTGGGCTGGCACAGCTTTCCTGGCGAGGAGGGGACGGGGCTGCCCCCCCTGCCTGGCACCACCGAGGCCACCCTGGAGCTCCCCAGGACACGAGGGACAGGGGGGGACCGTGGCAGGGACAAAGGTGACACCTGGAAAGGCTGAGGGGTCACAGCAAGTGAATAACTCCTGGGCCAGACTCGGGGAAACTGAGGCAGGATCTCCTCCGTGGTGCCTGGGGAGGGGATGAGGGACCCGTGCTGGAATAAAGGAAATTCTCTTTGGACATAAAAACCACGTTTTTACCCCAAGCCCAGGCTGACCCTGGAGGCTGTGGGACGTCCACCCTGGGAGCCCCTCGGAGCTCACGGGGAAGGTCCTGGGGAGCTGCCCTGCCCTGGGAGCTCGGTCTGGGCAGCCCCAGCCCAGCCCAGCCGGGATTCCTGAGCTTTGGGGGTCTGGAGCACTTTCCTGCCTGCCTGGATTTCCAGAGGACTCACTGTGCACGTCCAGGTGTGCAGTCCTGGGGCATTCCCACTGCAGCACTGAGGGATGGGGGCACACCCTTCATGTGCAGGGAAATAAAACGTTCCCCTGACCAAGCTGCTCTTCCCTGTTCACAGGTTAGGAGAGGCCGCAGGCTGGACAGCAGCTCAGGTAAGGATGGACACACGTCCCACCTCCAGCAGCTCCTGTCACCTCCTGCCCTGTCCTGTTTCTGCACCAGGAGGGTCCCCAGCTGCCCATCCCTCTGCTGTGTTCCAGAGGATGTTTTCCACAGATTATGGACTGGCTTGGGTGGGAGGGACCCCAGAGCCCCTCCAGTGGCACCCCTGCCATGGCAGGGACACCTCCCACTGTCCCAGTGTCCAGCCTGGCCTTGGGCACTGCCAGGGATCCAGGGGCAGCCCCAGCTGCTCTGGGCACCCTGTGCCAGGGCCTGCCCACCCTGCCAGGGAACAATTCCTGCCCCAAATCCCATCCAGCCCTGCCCTCTGCCACTGGCAGCCATTCCCTGGCTCCTGGCCCTCCAGCCCTTGTCCCCAGTCCCTCTCCAGCTCTCCTGGAGCCCCTTTGGGCCCTGCAGGGGCTCTGAGCTCTCCCCAGACTGGGAAAACACCGTCCCCTTCAGCTCTCCCAGCCTCATCTCCCGTTTTATTGTCACCTGTGTAAGGAGAGGCCTCAGCCAGGAGATGGGAGCCCGTGGTGATGGACACTGTCCAGACAAACCAAAAATCCAACTCTGCCCCCCAGGAAGCCGGGGTTGAAGTTGATAACAAGGCACAACAGATGGACAGACAGACAGACAGGTGTAGCTGAGAGCAGGAGGGGCAGGGCTGGAGCCTGGAGTGGCTCCAGGGAGATCTTTATCTCCCCCACCTGAAAAGCTGCGAGGAGGAGCCGCTCGGGTTTCCCCACGCTCTGGAAGTTTGCCATCGTGCCCATCACTGCCCGTTCCCGGGGGAAGGAGCAGAAAAACCTCCCGTGGCTGCAGCCAGCCTGGCCCAGCAGGGGATGGGGACAGGAGGGACCTGCCCTGGGGCTCTTCCCTCTCACCGCAGGGACCAGGCAGGAGAAAGCGCTTCACCTCCAGCTGAGCCCCAGCCCGGGGTGCTCAGGGGCCAGGAGGATCAGGGTTAGGGCTGGATCCAAACCTCGCTTCTGTGGGATCACAGCCCCAGCTCCCACCCCGCGTCCTCAAAGGAGATAAAGGGGATTTGCCCTCCCCACCGCCCCAGCAGCGGAAGGAGAGAACCCCAGAGGGGCTCAGGAGCCTTTCTGACACTTTTTACATTAGAAATTCAAGTCCTGCCTCATCTGGGAAACAATCTGGTAACTGAAGAAGGAGTGAAATTGCAGCGTTGGAGAGGGAGCAGCAGGGGCAGCTGGCCCTGCAGAGCGAGGCCTCTCCCCAAACCCTGGGACCCTGCTGGCTCTGGGGAGGGGACACGTGTGTGTGACCCTGCCACCCTCAGCGCTGGACGGGACAGGAGGAGCCCAGCAGGGCCTCCAGCACCAGCAAGGAGCAGCTGAGGAGCGCTGAGAAAACGAGAGAGGAACCAGTCAGGGTTCCTGATCCCACAGAAAGAATGGGGAAAGACAAAAAGAAAAGCAAAAATAATCCTTGACACTGCGGTGGCTCTTCCAGCACGTGGGAAGGGGGATCAGGCGCTGGCAGGGCTGCTCAGGGAGGTTTGGAGGTGTCCAGGGAAGGCCTGGAGGTGGCACTTGGGCTCTGGCTGGGGACTGGACCCGGTGACCTCGGAGCTCTTTTGTAACCTCAGTGATTCTGTGGATCCTCAGGTTCCTCCCAAGCCCGAGTGTGGTGCCAGGACTGATCCAGCCTGGTGCTGGTGTCCAGCAGTGATGGGGGAGCTGGGCAGCAGCACCAGGGGCTTTCAGGCAGCAGATCCTGCCTGGGGGACAAAATCCCCAGCCCCAACCTCACCTGGGCTTGCAGAGTCACCCTGGGGAGTTTCCCGGTTCCCTGGGCTCCCAGGGAGGAGCTGTGGGCTCAGCAGGACACTCTGCTGGGTGCCACACCTGGGCTCTGGCCTCAGCTGGCCAGGGGTGGCCCCAGGGGTGCCCAGCCCCAGCCAGGAGCCTCAGGGGGGTCACGGAGCCACGGAGCCACCGAGGCTGGAAAAGCCCTCGGAACCCTCGAGCCCAACCATCCCCAGCCCTGCCTGGGCCACCCCTGTCCTGTCCCCAAGTGCCACAACCACAGGGCTTTGAACCCCTGCTGGGATGGGGACCCCTGCCCTGGGCAGCTGTGCCAGGGCTGGAGAGCCCTTTCCATGCAGGAATTGTTC